GAGACCCAAAGGGAGAAGCTATTTGTATTTACACAACAAAATTGTTTTACTTTATAATTTTTAATTCTTTAAATTAAAATATATGTCACTTTCCCCTTCTTTCTTCCAACCCCTCCCAAATATACCCTTGCATTCTCTCTTAAATTATTACCTCATTTTAAAAATTGTTGTTGCGTACACACACACACACACACACACACACACACACACACACACACACTCCTAAATATATTATTAATACAACTACTCAGTCCATACAGTGTTACTTTTCTATAAATATTTATTCAAAACAAACAACAACAAAAATATGGTAATACATATATCTACAATGCCAACACTTGAGAGCCTGAGGCAGAAGGGTACAGAGTTTGTGGCCAGCATAGCAAAACCTTGTCTTAAATATATATATACACACATACATACATACACACAAACATACATGAAAATGTAACTTTAACTTCTCTTCTTTGAATTGTTTGTTGTTTCCAATAGTGCCTTTGTTCCGGAAATGCACCCTTTGTAAAATTACTCATTTTTAACATGGCTAATTACTTACTTTCCAATATTTCAGATGTAATCTTAAATTTCATTATTTCCCACCTCTCCCATTCTCTAGGAGACATATTGGGTTCTGCCATGCAAAACACACAGAATCTCCTTAACATGCCCTATGGCTGTGGAGAACAGAATATGGTCCTGTTTGCTCCTATCGTCTACATCCTGGATTATCTGAACAAAACCCGGCAGCTGACCCAGGAGATCAAGAACAAGGCCGTTGACTACCTCAGTATGGGTGAGTATTGAGTGTGGGACTGAAAGTTGATAGCATTGTTTCCATTGGATTGCCCAATAGGATTGAGTTATTTATTATTACTGTCACATATTATCCCAATGTAATGACTACCATAATAGAAAACATTAGCATGGTTTATTTCATAGAAACTGTGTACTTTCCAAACTCCCATAAAACATTCCAAACTCAGAACATACTATATGTGGACAAAAAATTTAAGAAAAATCACAAGACATGTCAAACATTTTAATAACCTTTCAGGCTTCCATGGGTATTCAACCTGCCACATTGTTTCACTGACTTCCCATTGCAGGGTACCAAAGACAGTTAAACTACAAGTACCAGGATGGTTCCTACAGCACCTTCGGGGATAAACCTGGAGGGAATACTGCTAATACTTGGTAAGGAGAAGCCAATTTCTTGAGCTCTTATTTTGTACTAGCTCTTTACATGTGTTCCAATTATATCAATAGCAACTCTGTCATATGCTAGGAGATCTAGAATGGACTATACTACATGAATGCACTGGTATTAGCAAGTTAACAAGCAGATAATCTGATATTCAAGCACATGTATGTTAATTGTGTTCCCAAAAGCCATCCTGGCCATGTTATACCAACATATTCTCTTCTAAACCAGCTCCCCAACTGAGAATTTTAAAGGGATATAGTGAGTATATTGCTTGACTTCTAGATAAGCCATATCAACTTCAGCTTGTATTATTTTTCTCAGGTCATACTTACCTTGAGAGGGGATGAATTAATTGGGAGGAAAGAATTAAGAATGATGCAATATCTTATTTTTTACATTCCTAAGTAATAAATAAATAAATAAATAAATAAATAAATAAAGTTACTGCATAGAAGAGTCGGACATGAGAGGATTCTGTCATCCTTAGAAAGACACCTTTAAAGAAAAAGGTCAAGGACCATCTCATGTTCTTTTATCTTCAGACCCTATAAATCTTTTGCCTTTTTAAAAGACCTTCCTCAAAGAACTAAGGGAAACAATTGGGTCAGAAATCAGGCAGATACTTACAGCTAAGACAAATTCTAGGTCTAGCACCTTGAGTAGACTAAAGGAGGGGGCATCTCCAGGGCACATGGATTCAATTTAAGGGGGTGATTCATGAAGTTGATGTGGAGTGGTCCTGAAACCCTTGTAACAGCAATGTATCGTCTTCACTCAGGCTCACAGCCTTTGTACTGAAGAGTTTTGCTCAGGCTCGAAAATATATCTTCATCCAAGAAGCACACATCACCCAAGCCCTCCTCTGGCTCACCCACCAGCAGAAGGACAATGGCTGTTTCAGGAGCTCCGGGTCCCTGCTCAATAATGTGATAAAGGCGAGTCATTCTAGTGCTAGTTTTGATTTATCTAGTATGAGATCTGTGAGGACAGAGAGGAGAGGTCATAGGGTAGAAATTACCATCAGGTCCATCAAAGAACAATAAGACATAGACATCACCAAGAAAGAGAGGATAGAGTTCATATTAATTGTGATATATTGACTGGGGGATGGATATTAAAAGGTGTTAATATCCCACCGCACAACAGAATAAGAAAAGCCAATTAATAGAACTACTCATATCTCTTCCTCTTGCCCATTAACAGGGAGGAGTAGACGATGAGGTCACCGTGTCTGCCTATATCACCATTGCTTTCCTGGAGATGTCTCTCCCTGTCACTGTGGGTACCACTCCCTTCCCTGTTAAAAGGTGGCTCTGGATGCAGGAAAACCCTGGCCTATTGTCTGAGACTTGAGCTTCCCAAGCACCTAGTGTCAGCTTCCCTTTTATGCAGTGCAAATGTTTCACAGGTCCACTTGCTCCATCAAAGAAGAAAGGTTTACGTTTTCTCAGAGAGGCATCTATGCTGTTTCTCTCCCATGAACTCCAAAAAGATATGGTTGATACCAGATAAATGGTTACTGATAGATTATCCTTCTTTTGAGAAATGCATGCATGTATGCAATAACATACAATCATATCCACCCCTCCTCCTAAGTCTGCTCCGTATCCTCATCAATCCATCCCTTCCCAACTTCATGCCTTTTTTGAAAAATATAACCCACAAAGTCCAGTTAGTCTGCTCATGTTCACGAGTGTGGGACCATCCACTAAAGCATGGGACTTTGATCAGTGACTATAAGCTTGAAACATAATGATTGTCTCTCCCTCCAGAAACTAAGTACCAAGAATCCCTCAGTAGGGAGTGGGAGCTGGAGAGCACCTACCCATCTATGCCAGTTTTGGCTGACTTGATAATTTGTAGGTCTCGTCAGTAGCCTTCTGTAAGCTCATAAGTGTGCTAGCCATGCCATATTCAGAAGTGAGCATTTCACAGCACTCCTGCCTATCCTTACATTCTTTCTGTTTCCTCTTATATGGTGCTTCTGAGCCTTGGTTAGGTGCTATTTTTTCTATGTATAAGAATGAGTTGGACAAAAACTTCTTTATCTCTAGCGCCATGGTCTACTTTGTGTGCTTACCTGGGAATGCTAGCACCTTTGCTCACACACCCATTTCCTTTCTGCTCTCCTTCACAGCATAATGTTATCCGCAATGCCCTCTTTTGCCTGGACACAGCCTGGAAGTCAAGAAAGGAAGGAGCCCACGACAACCATGTCTACACTAAGGCGCTGTTGGCCTATGCATTTGCCCTTGCTGGGGACCATGCCATGAGGAAAGAGATCCTGAAATCACTAGATGGGGAATCTGTAAAAGAAGGTAAGAACATACCTGAGATCTTTCTCCTGCCGACATCCTGGGCACCAAAAAACATATTGCAGGAGAGTCCTACCTGCATCTGTGACCTCTGTCCTCTCTGCTACCTGCTGCCTATCATCTAGGTACCTATATATTGCATATAACATCTTTTTTTAAAAAAAATTTATGATTTTAAAAGTGAAATCACACATGAAAAAATAAGAAGCATCAGCTTTAAGTGGTGAAAAGCTCAGACTCGGAGACTTGATCCAAAATGAACTATTTGTGTGAAGCCGGACAAGTGTCATCTGTAAATGGGGGTAACATTTGCCCTGTAGGGTTGTTTCATTAAGTGAATAACAAATGTCAACACTTAGTGGATAGTGTGGCAAGTGGTAAATAGTATGGAAGTGTCGGAAGCTGTTTTTGCGGGGCTGCAGTCACAGCCAGCTGAGCAGCCCGAGTTCATACCTGAGAAGGGGAGTGTGGATGACAGAAAGTCTGGCTAGCTAAAGGGGTTAAGAATCCAAGACAGAGATGCAAGTTAGCTGTTAGGAGGGCCATTCAATCCATACTGAATACGCTTGTAGTTTATTCTTTCACGATCTGATTTATGTATTCAACCAACAGTGAGGACAAAATGGCAGAAGACTTCTATTATCATGTATAAGGGGCAAAGAGATTTACTTCCCTTAATCCTCCAGGTATTTGCTAGCCACACCTGCCTTTGGTCCTTCAGGGTTAAGAGTAAAGGCACCTGGGCCCAAGTCTATTGTTATTTAGAGAGGAGACATCCACTGCCAAAACCAAAACATTACCTACTACTAAGGCATCAGTCCCTAATCTACATCTGACCCTTACTTGGTGACCTCATAAGAAAGTTCTAGCATTTTGTCTCATTACACAAATTGGTCATGTTGACCAATCTTTTTTATTTTCATATAATATTTTGCATATATCACAGTTATATGAGAAGTTAAAGAAATAGAAAATACAATGCACATATTCAATGAAATTGACCTTGTTATTCTTTTGTTTAAAAAGAAGAGAAATGCTGAGACACGAGATATAAGACTATAAGTTTATTATAAGGCCCGGCATAATGGGGAGACTAAGAAGAGGAACAGGGGTAAATGGCTGACCGCCATGGCCGGTCGCCATAGAGAGAGCGCATAGGTGAGAGAGAGAGAGTAGAAAGGAAGCTGAGAGGAAACAGAGCGGGGAAACAGAGAGAGGGAACAGAGAGCATAAATGGGCAGGGGCCTATCTTTTAAAGGGGTCCTCTGTATCTGCGTGCAGACTTAGTTCCCATGGAACCTTGGGCTGACCAGGGTACTGCCTATTCCACCAGGTAACAGGGGCAGGCCAACATAATGCCTGAACCTTTCAGACCTTCTTCTTTGATAGTGTTACTAAATGTTTTCAATATATTGAGAAATTCTTCAGATAGTGCAAAAGGCATAAAGAACAATTAGAAAATATCTGGGCAACTCATTCCCAGTATAAGAAATAAGGTATCCCCCAAGCACACACACAAAATTCCATGTTTCATTTCCACCCTCAAAGGTTAACATTATCTTAAATTCACTATTACAATATATACTTGTGTATTTGTTGCATGTGTCCATAAGTAATATTTTTAATTTTATAGTTTTCATCTTTACATATGCAGTACTATACATGTTGACATTTCAGCAGCTTATTTCCCTTTTAATTTTTAAGTTTAAAAACCTCCCTACCAACACTTGCAACTTTAGTTTATTAATTTCCATTCTTGCTTATTTTTGAGACATAGTCCTGCTAGGTAGCCTAAGCTAGCCTAAAATGGCAATCCTCCTGCCTCAGCCTCCCACATCCTGGAATGACAGATGTGCCACTATGCTACACTTCCTGTTCCCCAGTGGATGCACAGGTGCCCATCTCTCTGGTACATGCCAGCTTCTCCAAGTTATGCTTCTAGAGTTTTAATGACTCAGTAGAAACCAGACACTTTTTTTTTCTTTGCTGAATGCTGCCAAATTGCTCACTAAGATAAACTGACTTTCCCTGACAGTCCTTGTCAGTTCCATTCCTTAACAGCCATGTCAGCTTCGGGCTGTCTAATGAGTATAAACTTCTATTATTTCATGTGCTCTGTGATATTCATAAGACACTTTGGGAAAGGTTTTTATAAGACATCCAATACATTCTAGTTAAGCTCAAGATCACATCAGAAACAGCGAACACCCACAATCAGTGAGAAAAATTTCTCCCATCGTACAACTGTACTAACTAATTTAAGTGACTCTACAAACACTCCCTGCCTTGACTGGATTGAAATGTCAAATTAACATTCATACCAAAGGGAATGTAGCTCTCCAAGGTTTGAAAGATAACATTAGAAGTGCAGGCCTCACTTAAGCTCTGCCCTGGCTGCTTTCAAACAATGAAGAATACGTATTTAGTCACCAATGAATCTCTTTTTCTCATCTCCAGACACTTCCATCCACTGGACAAAATGTCAGAAACCCACAGTGCCAGTGAGTGTTTGGCACCAACCCCAGGCTTCCTCTGTTGAGATAGAGATGACTGCCTACGTGCTCCTTGCCTATCTCACCAACCAGCCTGCTCCAACCAAAGAGGATCTGACTGCTGCGATGCTCATTGTCAAGTGGCTCATAAAGCAGCAGAATTCCCTTGGTGGCTTCTCCTCCACTCAGGTCAGGGGTTGGCCAGAACCTTTTACTTCCCCTTCAGTTGGTAAAAGATTTACCAACTGCAAACACACATGAGAATAAAAGAGCAAGGGTGACTTGAAGGATTATTAATATGCAAAAATAATCAGAAGAAATTCAAGGACAGCAAAAACAAAAACAAAAAAACTATTCTTAGCCTACAGCACCCCACCCCATCCCTGTATTACTATGGTCTCCCAGTTTCAGTAACAAATCCATGAGCCTACAACAGGACTAGGGCACCAGAAGAAGGAAGGGAAAATTGCCTATTACTCTCCTTGAAGGCTATCACTCTCTTTTGAACTGTTAATGGGAACCCTGACTCAACAGTCTCTCCTTGCAGATGTGTCCATCAGTAGGTCTATGTTTAAACTAGACAGTTTTGATGTTCCCCCAGACACCTCTTGTTAGACCCCCGAAAACTCAAGTATTCGGGGTCCCAGGCCACGTTCGAGGTCACCCCAATCACCAGGCGGATTCGAGAGCTTGCTGCAAACTGCACGAGGCTTTATTGTAATTTAACGAGCTAACCCCATGTTAGCTCGGGTCTTTCACCCACCCACCATGGCGGATGGCTAGAAAAGACGGCTCCTTGGGTCTCCCAAAAGATCTTATAGGGCAGCGTAAGGGGAGTGTCTAGGGGTACGCACAGGCTTACGCACAGGCTCACGATTGGTATGCTTCCAGGCTTGGAGGGCTTGCCCTGTGTTGATTGGTCAACTGGTTGTTATGGCCCATAGGCCCTCCCAGGGTGGTTGCTATGCTCTCTACGTCATTGCTGTGCGCTTGTCCGTAAAGCACACCCAGGGTCGTAAAGCATAGCACCACCAGCTAACTTCCTATTGGTTCCTTGTCACGAGGCAGGCATCTGACTTTCTAGTGACTAGGTCAAGGTCATAGAAGCACATGTTCGGCTGTTATGGCTGCCAAAAGGGAAGCCGGTTCCTTCACTCTTAGTACACAAAACTATGTTTACTGGGAACATAATAGACTGTCTTCACTCATCCAATCTCTTAAGCTCAACTATATATTCATGCATCTAAACAATTCATCAGCAGGTGTCCAGCAAGAAGCCTCATTTTCAGACAAAGTAGATGTTAGCACATGTCCTCTCTAAGAGAATGGAGGATATGGAGAAATACAATCTTGTCCTTTTCTTTTCTTTTTTCTTTTCCTTTTTGGTTTTTCAAGACAGTGTTTCTCTGTATTGCTTCGGAAGTTGTCCTGGAACTCGCTCTGTAGACCAGGATGGCCTCGAACTCACAGAGATCTGCTTGCCTCTGCCTCCTGAGTGCTGCGATTAAAGGCGTGCACCACCAATGCCCAGTTCTTGCCCTTTTCAATTGCATTAAAAATACAATTATTTTTCCCACAAGAATGAAAAAAAATGATTTGATTAAAAATCATTTTCATTTATTTCTTAGAAATATATTATTTAAATGTGCCCTCGCGGCTCAGAGTCAGTGGCATTGAGCAAGGAGGAGGCGAGCATAGGTGGTACTCTGATGAAAGGGGAGAGCCAAGGAAGAACAGCAACACATCAGGAGGATGTTGTTGATAAATGCCCTGCTTCCTTTGGAGAAACTGACACCTGACTCCGAACATTTATAAAGGCCTTGACTTCTCATCAGCACAGGAGAAGTTTAATTTGGAAAGGGGGTCAGACCAAGCTCTGGCTGGGGAACAGCAGAAAGGATCACAACAGTCAAAAGGGCTATCATAATTAAATAGCTGATGCCAATAAAGTATTCAATTCCATTTACATATATTTCCTACATCCTGTGTCACATATGTTTATATAGGGAGAGGTAGATAGAGATCATGCTGCTGATGGACTTGTTGGCACACAACCCAAGGTGTAAATGTGATGTTATGATCCTATTATCCACCCAAAAGTTATAACTGGTCTTTAAAGTTTAACTATCTAAGTGAGGACAATACAAAAATAGGAAACCCAAAGCCCTTGTGACTGCTAACAGGACTTTGGAAAATTGGAATTTTTGTATCTATATTAGTGCCCCTTTAATTCCATAACAGAATATCTGAGAGTAATTTACAAAACACAGAGGCTGATTTAGCTTAAGGTTTTGATACTGAAAGTCCACAGAACATGTGAACATGGAAATAAGGCTCTGATGCAGGCTGCCATGTCTGATGGCTTCCTCACCTTATGGTGGGTGGATAACCATAGAGGAAACTTGTGGGAAGACAATACCCTATTTTAAAACAGGAAGCCAGAGATCTGTGTAAGGCCAGGTTGCACACACTCTCTCTCTCTCTCTCCCTCTCTTTTTCCTCCCCCTCTCTCTCCCTTTCCCTCCCTCCCTACCACCTTCTCTCTTTTTTCTCTCTCTCTCAATTTTTCAAGACAGGATTTCTCTGTGTAGCTTTGTAGACCAGGCTGGCCTCCAACTCACAGAGATCCACCTGCCTCTGCCTCCTGAGTGTTAGGATCCTCTGGGCAGGGTTGCTGTTTTTATAACAATGTACTCACAAGAACTCTATGGGATTCCCACCAGAACATACTCCCTCCCAGGAACAATGTGGCAAGTGATTCAAGGTCCTCTGAGTTGCTGTTCTGAGTCTATGATATAAAACCATTATCAAGGTAATTTACAGAAGGAAGGGCTTATTTGACTTATGGTCCCAGAGGTATAAGAATCTTTCATGGCAGGGAAGTATGGCAGCAAGGCCCAGACATGGTGGCAGGAACCAGACACTTTCAATGTCAAGCATGGAGCAGAGAACAAAGTGGCAATAATGCAAGACTTTTAACTCTCAAAATCCACCCCAACGGCATACTTTCCTCCAGCAAGGCTACACCAACTAAAATTCCCCAAACACTGTCACCAACAGGGAAACAGACAAATGCATGAGACTCTGTGGGACATTTTTATTCAAACCAGAACAAACCTCCTACTTGCTTTGATCCACCTCTAATAGCACCACCATGGAGACTAAGCTTCAGACTTGGGAGCAACAAATCACTTAGAAGTGTGTCGTGTGAGTTGTGCCATTCCTCTTTCAGGACACCGCGGTGGCTCTCCATGCTTTGTCCAAATATGCGTCAGTTACTTTCGTAAGAACTAAGAAAGCTGCAGATGTGACCATCTATTCTTTGGATTCGTTTTCTGCAAAATTCCAAGTGAACAATGACAACAAATTATTACTGCAAAATGTCAAGTTGCCAGCTGTGCCCGGGGATTACACTGCAATCGTGTCAGGAAAAGGATGTGTGTACCTCCAGGTGAGACTTGGGCAGAAGAGGGGGGGGCCCAGGAATTGTGCTCCCTGTAAAATCTTAACCCAGCAAGCAAATGGCCATGGAGCATGTGCAAGCACACACAGGAGAGAGAGAGAGAGAGAGAGAGAGAGAGAGAGAGAGAGAGAGAGAGAGAGAGAGAGAGAGAGAGAGAGCACATCGAGGGAGTTGAGACTCCGAGGAAAGGACAAAAATTGATTCCTGTCTTGAATGTTCCATAGACGTCCTTGAAATACAATGTCATCCCAGAAGAGATGGCATTCCCATTTGCTTTAGTGGTACAGACTCTGCCTCAGAATTGTAATGATCGAAAAGCTCACACCAGCTTTCAGATCTCACTTAACATCAGGTAAGACTCCTTTATATAAGGGGGGAGGGGCAGACAACCCATCCTCTTACTGGAATTTCTCACTAAGCAAAGCTGTTGGATAGGAAATATTTGGATGTGTTTTGAAAATAAGGTATCCTTTTTAAGTAGGTAAAATTGAGTTTTTCTGCAGTGGAGCTTATGTTGCCTGTCCTCCACCTTCAGAAGTTAATTCCCTCAAATAATTACTTACTCCTGGTAATAAATAAATGAACAGTATCACCTTTTGTCTATCACTTGAATTCCTTCTATATAATGAAATTTTATAGTAATCTTGGTCTTCACAGAAGAAAAAAAAATACTTGGAAGACTTAAATAGAAGGAAGTAGTCGCTCTTCCATTGTAATTGCACTGTCAATAAGTAAATCTAGTTGTATATAGTATAATAGGTTTGGAAAACATCATACATATCCATAGCAATAGTCAAGTGGCCACAGGACTTACAAAAATATATCTATAAGGCCTTTGTGAGTTGGTAGGCTACTCTACTTAGGGAACTGGGGAGATGAAGTGTGAACAGTAAAAATCTGGTATAGAGTGAAGGCCTTGAAGGTGTGTCCCCTGCCAAACTTCCTGAAAGCACAGGTCTGAGTCCAATCTACTTCAAATTCTGATTCCAGTTCTAGTCTCTATAGATTTACCAAGTTCTATACAAATCTGAATATACCACAAGTTTTTTTCAGGACCCTTGGGAAGTCTTATGTATACTTTGTGGAATCACGAAGTAGTCAATATATAGACCTAGAAAAAGAATATTAAATACTATAAGAAAAGCCTAAGTCTTCCTTCCCTGGATCTGCAGTTACACAGGGAGCCGCCCAGCATCCAACATGGTGATTGTTGATGTGAAGATGGTGTCTGGTTTCATCCCCTTGAAGCTAACATTGAAGACGGTATGTTCACGATATGCCCACAACAGCCCATTTCAGTTTATATGTTATGCATCTGCAGACCAAGATAATGTTTATTAAAATGCATTAAGTCTTTCAGAGTTATGCTTTCTCCAAATGAAGTGTGCTTGTGCTTGCGTGTGTAGTATTGTTTAGACGTCATGGATACCAGGGAAATTTGTAAACATATGTAACCTTTTTTTCTTTATTTTCTTATTTTAATTAAAATATAGTTCCATTCTCTCCTCCTTGCCCTCCTTCCCTCCAATCTCTTCCATGTTCCCCTTACTGTCTGTCTCTCAAGTTCATGGCCTCTTTTTCTTTTTTATTGCTACATATCTGTGTCTATATGTATACGTATATAAACACAAATACATAAATACAACTTGCTAAGGCCATTTCATGTTGCTTGTGTGATATGATTTCATAGTTGGCCATTCAGTGGTGGGTAACCAGTTATGAGGCTCATCCCTGAGAAAGACCCATTGTCCTTTTCAACAGTCATCTAATTGATGACTTAGAATCTTAGGAGATAAAGCATCTGAATATCAACCAATGAAATAATAAGAAAATGGCTGATGTCATAAACTTCTGTAGCACAGATGCTAAGAGAAAATGAGATTTTTTAAAGTTAGAGGGAAAAAGCAAGAAAAAGTCTCCTTCATGAATAAATAAAATGTTGCTTGAACCTTGAAAAAGAAGTGATTCCCCTGTCTTCAGATACATAGCTTTACAAGTACATCATATACCATACAGGAAGTCTGCCCTTCATCCAAATTACCTTTCATTTTTAACTTTTATGCTTTATTTGTAAGGGACCTTGGAAGAAATTCTGCTCTCAGGGTATTTTGATAATAATATAATTTCATTTTCCCTGGACTCTCCAGGTATTTCTTCTATTTATTAACATTAGTGGTTTTTCCATTTTCTTCAGTTTGAAAGCTCTATGTATGTGAGCCGGACAGACATCAACAATAACCATGTCTTCATTTACTTGGAGAAGGTGAGAGCCCTGACTGTCTGGTGCAAAACACATAGAAAATAATCCTCCAGGAACTATCTGGAAAGTGAGTGTATTTTAGAGTCATCATCTCAGTGCTAGAGGCATGAGAATTCTCGTATCACAGTGGCTGCCCTCTCTTGGAGGTATTTGACCTGAGACTATGAGTAGAAATGCCACAGTATACTACTGGAGTATAAATACTTCCAGGGACCTGTAAGACACTCTCCATAACAGCTTTCATTACATAAACCAATTAGCTTGAAGATGCTAAATAATGCAGGAAAGTGATTATTGTCATCAGTCATTATATCATCATCTTTATCAACAATATAAAAGAGGATGCCATCTCAGCTGGCACTTGGACCACATAATAGTAAGACACCAGTCCACCCATGGACCAATAATTGAAAAGACAGGTGTGGTAGTGTAGTTGTTCAAACCTCTACTGATAGGAATTTCATTTGACAAAGCAGTGGTGGTTCATCTTTTATAGACTTCTTTGGGTCTGTATCTGTACTTTTACAGGATGGAAAGGCAAAACTACCAAAACTCTGAAATTTAAAAGAAGATATAATAGTAGTAGTGAACAGAAAGTGCACATACACCATGAACAGAGTCATTGCTGGCATTAATGAGTGCGGCTGTTCTCAACCTGTGGGTCACCCCTTTGGGGGTTGTATATTAGATATTTACATTATGATTCACAAAAGCAGCAAAATTACAGTAATGAAGTACAGCACAATAGTTTTATGGTTAGGGGGGTCACCACAACAAGAAGAACTGCATTAAAGGGTTGCAGCATTGGAAAGGTTGAGAACCACTGGATTGAGGTATATGCAATGATGAAGTTACATTAGATACTTAAGTAGTAATTTTTTCCATTTACTCTGAAGGCTTTCTACACAGTACACCATGCTGTTATCAGATAATGCTCTCACCCCCTAAAATCCCCATTGATACTTCTCTGTTTATTCAAAGTGAGAAGAAAGCTCCCAGAAAGTCATTTGAGCTCCTTTTGATTTCCAGGTGTCAAATCAGACCATAAACTTGACCTTCACAGTTAAGCAAGACATTCCAGTAAGAGAACTGAAGCCAGCCATAGTGAAAGTTTATGATTACTACGAGAAAGGTGAGTGTGAGCCACCTGACCAGACATCCAACTCCTGATCACAGAAGGACTTAGCAAAGTGTTAGGTAGCCCATTAGCAATGGCTTCTCATCACCTCGTGTTGTCTCCAATCAGGCTGGCTACTTGACTTTTCATCTCCTTACTTCTACTGGAGAAAGCACATTTTAAATATATCAACCAGTAAAATATAATAGCTGCACAGTTAACTTTCTGTCAGGTAATCCAATTGTAGGACAGTATGAGATTTAAGGGCGTACAACGACGTCCTTAAAAGAAATGTCTCGTTGTACCTGGAAGGATGCCCAAGGCAGCAAGCAGTGCATCAGGAGAATGACGTGGACATTTCTGATGCAATCACAGATGTTCATCATGACATCACATAATGGTTTTTGTTTCTGTTTCCTCTCTCTCTCTCTCTCTCAGATGAGTTTGCACTCGCTGAGTACAGTGCTCCTTGCAGTGAAGGTAAACAGTTCACCCTCCTTTAAAGAGTAGCCAGAATTCCTCTGGTTTGTCTCCCAAATTTCCTCCTCCAAAAAATTCTACGTGAATAGCATTCTTAGGAATTATTTTGCTTATATTGCATATTATTATAGAAAAACGTGTGTGTTGGAGAGGCCTGATGCCTCTTTAACCCTCAGTTAGTTTGCAGCACTGCTTATTGGGTAATTGTTATGATAAAGAGCAAGGGGAACCTTGGCGGATTCCATTGGGAAACAAGCCATGTGCAACAGAATCAGTGAAAGAAGAAATAAGAGATTAAAAAAAAAAGAAAGGCAAAAAAGTAAATTAATTATGTCTGACGACAGTAAGGTTTGTCAGCAGAAACTGGCTAGACTGTCCCTCTGCCTAGGCTGATGGAATGGAGTAACCCATGGCATGGGTAGACCTATGGCTAGGCCAAATGGTCTCTCTCAGTCAAGATGGCGGCTGCCATAAACAGGTTCTCGTCACTGGCAGAAGTTAGCAAGTTTTGAGATATAATTTTATTGGCTTGTTTCCCATGAGTGAGGCAGAAAGATATGTGAAGCCCATAGACACCAGAGTCCAGGAGGCACAACATCCAAAAAGCCCACTGAAGGTCCGAGAAACAAATGCACCAGTCAGTATGGCAGGTGGTAGGCTAGGGGACAAAACCCGAAAATCTCATTCATGGGGAAAAAATCAAAACAAAAATCTCTCAGAGAATCCTGAGAAGATGCTGTCTCAGGCCAGCCCACTGTGAGCAGGTGACATTTGCACGGGGAAGATACATGATAGTAACATAGCTGGATGGAAAAGAGGAACCCGCCATCCAGGGCTGAATGGCTCGGCAGAGATGGGACAAACAGGAGAGAGAGACATTTAGAACAGGAGCATAAGATGTTTGGCAAATTCCCAGGATATTCCCGGGCGGGGGGAGGATGACATCCTGAGACAGGCTTAGCAGGATGCTGCTGTGGCAGGCAGGAGAGAGTCTTAGCATGCCAGGAACAGGAGGGAAACAGACAAGTAAAAAAGAGCAGAGGCCAAACTTCCAACTAGAATGTAGGGTGCCAATAAGTGGGTACATGGTTTGATATGGGGGGGCTCAGTTTCCATGAGAGAGGTAGAGAAGAGCCAAGGTCTATAATCCATAGCATCCCAGAGACCAAGGGAGGATCAGATACAAGAGGCACAGGCTGATTTTGCGGTCCATTGAGCACAAATCAGGGACCAGGGCTCTTGGAGTCCGAGAGACACATGGTCATCCAGTACTGGGGTTTTCACTGGGCCAAAAAGGCAAGTCTCCACACAAGTCCTAACTCATGGAAGCGTGGGCAGAGGTAGAGAGGAAGGGCAAGTCTTACCAGGCATGGCGGTGGTGAACAGAAAAATTCAGAGCTCCTTAGTTGGAAAAGTGACCAAGTTGAAGGTTTCAGGGTCCTGGCTTATCTCAGACTACCATGGGCAGGAGAAAATGCCAGGCAAACATGCCGAGCCATGTGAATCAATGTTATATATGATAAAGCCTGTGGGGGACCTTGGCAGATTCCATGGCAGGAGAGGGTGACCAAGGCAGAGGGACAAACAAAGCAGGCAAACAAAGCTTAGGGAAGGGGTGGGTGGGAGGAGAAAAGAAAAAAGAAGTAAAGAGACAGAGAGAGGTCAGAAGAGAAGAGGGAGACAGGAAAAGTCCTCTCTGCCCTAGGGGAAGAGCAGGAAAGAGAGAGTAGAAAGAGATTGCAAGTGAGTGGAGGTCTTTCTTTTAAAGGGGTTCTTTGCATCTGGGCTGACCAGGGTTCTGCCTGAGTGCATTCTGCCAGGTGGACAGAGCAGGCCAGCATAATGCCTGAATCCTTACAGTAATTGTCTGCAATGGGTCCCATTCCCTCCTGTATTTACTGAACTGTCTTGGACACTGTGCTGTTCATACTTAAGAGACAGGGACATCATTTGCTCATGGAAACCCAAGCCCATCTTAATTTTCTTTTCTTTTCACTATTACAGGTTATAGAAATACCTGAGGACACCATGATTAAAAAATGTTTTACTTGGAGCCCTGTTCTTAGGGCTTCATAAGAAAAAAAAGTGTTTTTGTATTTCCAGAGATTTGATAAATAAAACATTTTTCATATCTATTAGTCACCATTCTCTCATTCATTCAGTCATCATTTTTTTTTTTTTTACATTTCCATGCTTCTAGATCTAATACCATAGCTGGGAGAAAGTAAAGCATGTTTGGTTGTAGGAAACGCCTTAAGGAAGAGTCAAAGAGTCTATTTTGTAAGCTAATAGGAGACTCACTTGGTCAGACATACAAATTTGGATATGATTTGTTGGAAAAATAGCCTCACTGCTTGGGATGCATGTGGTTCACAAAAGAATAAAATCTGCCAAGGGGCAGTGGGAGTGACCATTCATTTACCTTGACCCAGACTCCATAGTTGACAACTTCTGAGACCAAAGTTGTGATCCATGTACATGAGAGTATTCTCAGAAGGAAGAAAAAGATATATGACTCACATCCAAGTGGGAGAGGTAGAGCACCGGCAGTTCTTGGGTCATGGAGTCATACAGAAGTTCCCAGAAACATGTAGGGGAGGACAGAAGGAAATTAAGACAGAAGAATCCAGAGGTATGACACTGGCGGCAATCCTGACCACACTAGCCTTAATTTGGCATGAAAATGACAGTGTTTACTTTGGAAGGGGGTAAGTGGATGTGGACACCATGAAGGGACTTTGAAATGTAATCAATCTTTAGTTCTGTTTCCTGGGCAAACACACACACAAAAAGCAATCATGTATTCTGAAAAACTGCTGTAAGTACCTCACAGTTCTAGTCCCTTGTTCTTTGCCTGTGTGGGACTCATAATTGAAAATGTGTTTTTAGAGAGTGCTTGTGGCAAACCATTAGCTGTTACACCTAGTCCAAAAAGGTTCATTCCTGAACTACCGACTGTTTGCTTGGCATCTGGGTAGCCCAGGCTTATGTGATAGCCTATACTGCAGTAAACACAGCAGCTTACCTTTCTCTAAGTCAGACTCAGAAAGACAAATGTCACACAGGGGAGGGGGCTTTTCTGTTCCTTCTTCTATGCTCATGGCTTGCTGTGCTATTCTGTCTTCCATTTAAATCATTTTATTGGTGAGTCTTTATATTAAGATTTCTTTTTGTTTGACTTACTCAGTTGTTCATATCCAAAATTTCAATGCATTATTTCCAGTATTTCTGCCTCTTAATTGCACTCCTCTGTCTTATACCGCATTATCTTCCTTATTTCATTTATCTGTTACTGCACTCAGAAGCCTACAGTAAGGGAGACTGCCCACCTCAGACAAGTCTGTGTCATAGGAAGGAGGGAGTGAGGGTGAGTGAGTGAGAGAGCCAAGAACCTGTTGCTAGTCTCAAGGAACAAAAGCAGCAAGAAAGGAGGCAGGAGACCAAAGAAAGAAACCATCATGACTACTGGGCTCATCACTGAGTTGATTTGCATGTATATACAGGGATTCTGGGTACCCATAGCATATGGCTGCCAGGAAAATCCTCCCTTCTCTGTCTTCAGCAGAACAGCTGCAGGAGGCCATTTGGAAGAAGTCACTGCTACTCAGTAACTCTGCCTTTCGAGAGTTGAAGGCCCATTTCCTCTCCCTGCACTGCCCATTCTGGGGAGCTAGAGCATAGGGACAGGCTTTGAGCTTTGTCCAAGAGAAAAACAAGCCTGCAGGATGCTTCTGATTCTATCTGCTCACAACTCTCATTCTTACTCCAACACATCTCCATCAACCTCCATGTTCTCTTCATTTTTACGGCCCACTGAATCCAGTTAATACTGCCTGCATGCACTCAGGTATGTAATCATCTACCCGAGCAGAGGCAATCTACCTCAGGCGTCTACCTAAGCAGCGGTTACCTCCCCGAAGGGGGGGGGGGGGGGGAGTGACTCTTCGTCCCCAGTAGCCATCAGCTACCAATAGCTCCTCATCTAGAGTAGAGCCTCATAAGGCCCTCCCCTACCCATGCTGGAATGTTGTCTAACTTGATCTTTTGAAATTCTTGTGTACATAACCACAACTTATAGGCTCATGAATGCAGTGGATATGTCATGTCCAGAAGACTATATTTCTCAGTGCTCCTCCTGCCTACGTTAGGGTTTCTATTGCTGTGGAGAGACACCATGACCACAGAAATTATTCTTTTTTTTTCAACCTTTTACTGAGGGAGAAAAAATATTTAATATTTTGTTTGTTGTATAAGGAATAGTGCCTAAGGCAGGTGCTTACAATCCTGACCTTAGCCCCACACACTCCTGTTTTGTAAAGCTACAGGAAAGAGCAGAGTTGGGACAGAAAAGAAAGGGTTGAAGATAACAAATCAGAAGGGAGCGGAGATGCAGAAATAATGACAACAGCCACACGTGTGTCAAACACCTTTAGTCCCTGCAGCAAATCAGATACCAACCAAGTGTCTACACTGGCCGTGGATGCAGGAAGAAATATTCAGTACTAGGGTAGAAAATGATAACAGAAAACTGAGCTACAGCTACAATGAGACAATCCAGAGAAGGAGAATATCAGGTTTTTCTACTTGTGTCACACAAGCTAGGAAAACTGACCTCTCCCATGGGGAGGGAAACCTACATGTCACCCATTTCCTTGCCTTACCATACAAGACATTCTTCCTCTTGGAGAAGTGAGACCCTGGATAGTCACTCCACTCGGGGATAAGGCTGAGCAGTCCTAGTGTCTAGTCTGCCTGCTTGAAAACTGGATTAGGGTAGGTGTGAATAGTGAGAATGGTTTTGTGTGTGTGTGTGTGTGTGTGTGTGTGCATGTGTGTGCATGTGTGTGCCTGTTGGACCACAGAAATTCTTAAAAAAGGAAAATATTTCATTGGGGCTAGATTACAGTTTCAGAGCTTTAGTCCATTAGCCTCACAGTGGAACATAGCAACATACAGGCAGACATGGGGCTGGAGAAGGAGCTGAGAGTTCTATATCTTCATTCCCAGGCAAGAGGAAGTGAAC